GACAAAACACAATTTGAAAGTAATGGGGAAAAGGCACAAGTTTTCTCTCTTGTCTTTTTTTTCTAACACTTAGAGACTAGAGATCAAAATAAATTAAGCTGTTTAATGTAATTGTGTTCTTTATACTGATAGAGTAATTATGGGAATTTACTAATTTAATTGAAAGGCTACATTTATTTTGTTTTGTATCGATTTTTAAAAAAAAAACATATCTAATATGTTTTAACATAAAGTAGACCCTTATTCTACGCATTGTTACGTCGACGTCTTATCAATTAATTCAGATCATCACAATTATATGTAGGACTTGAAGTATAGTTTTTTCCTCAGAAACACCAAGTCATACACTGTATTAGCTATTGTGAAATCAGCACTATTGTTGTTTTACAGAAAATTATTTCCATTTTTAGAAACATCAAGACAATAAGCATGCATTTCGCAATCTTTAAATAGTATATATATATTTGAGTTATTTAAAAGTCCCTGTCAGAAAGCATTTATATATAAACGCTACGGTGTTCTTGAATTCAAAAGTCGGAGGGGAAGAGATTCTATATGAAGTAACAATACAGAAGGGATCCATCTCTGAGGACGAAGAATTAAACGCCTAGCACTGAACTGAATTAGCAAGATTCCTACATTTATAGACTAGGCGTTTCTGTCCTGTCAGTAATTTGAGATGGACCCCCACATTTGTACAGACAACGTGCGGACGAATGTGGTTAACCCAGTCCGCCAGTACACTAGCTGGCATATATAATGTAAATCCACAATACATGAATTTTTGGTAGTCTTCATGCATGGTATGGCATTTCTTTAGTTTTATAATAATATATATAATGTATATATGTATCGATGAAATATATAATTTTAAGGTCACCAAAGTTACTCAGGTGACCTAGTGCTATTGTTCATCGTCCGTCGTCGGTTAACAATTGCATATTTCTAACTTCTTCAATACTACTTGGCCAATTATCCTCAAATTTGAAAGGAAGCATGTTGGTAAAAGATGAACATTAATTGTGATTTTCATAATCAATGTACCCCTTGGGTCCTAGGGACTGCATGGACAAATTCTGGTTAAATAGCCAAATAAAAAAAAATCTTATCTGTACTATACTTAAGATAAACTGAATATATGATAAGGAGATCAAGGAACTCTCCACCAAAATTGTGTTTTTTCATGAGCCCCAGGACAGGGGTTCTTCCCCCAGGAAGGAGCCAAAATGGTCCTTGGTGAAAAATGAACTTAATCTTAAAAAATCTTCTTTACTGCTGCATGTCTTGAAGATAAATTGAATGCAAAGTTAGGAAGAACAAGAAGCCTTTTACCAAAACTTTGTTTTTCATGACCCCAAGGACTGAGGATGTGCCTCCAGGGTTTGGCCAAAATAGCGATATTATGAAAATGTACTTAGACATCTTGAAGATCTAGATAAACTGAATATGCGAGTAGGAAGACGAAGAGGTCCCCTACCAAAATTGTTTTTCATGACCCCGAGGACAGGGGTTCTGCATCCAAAGTGGGACTGAAATGGTCATATAGTGAAAATGTACTTAATCTTAGAAAATCTTAATTATTTCTTACTCCTGCAGATTTTGAAGAAGAGCCGAATGCATTATTAGGAAAAACACGACGCTCTTCACATATTGTGCGTTTCATGACCCCAAGGTCAGGGGTTTTGCTCCAGGGCGGAGCCAAAATTGTCATATTATGAAATGTACTTTTAAATAAAAATCTTCAAGAATCTTTTTTTTCTACTCTTGCACAGATATCTTGAAGATAAACTGAATGTAACTATGGTGAGGAAGAGTACAAGCCGTCTACAAAATTTCGATCATAAGCACTTGGTTCAGAGTTCAGGCCCTAGGGAGGAATTAGTTGGTAATATTATTATTGCCTGACGCCACGTGCGTCAGGCAGTATAAGGATTAATATTTCAGGGATCCGAAACTGAGCGATCATTCTTAATAAACTAGATTTTCTGCAAGCTGATTTACATCGGAATTTGTTAACTGCATTTAAACAAATACAGTTTGCAGAAGAAAGAATCATATAACTGATGCAAAATAATGATGTGTTTAATTCCTTCAATTTTTTTGCATGCACATATTTATTCTTTGCGATTCTTTGTACGAACATGTCCGTGCAACATTTTTTCTGCGTTTCTAAACTACTGGATCAGTCCATTTGCCTTCTACAAAAGGGGTGACACAATCATTTCGCGCCAAATGTCACATGTAAATTATCTTCGCGCCTTTTTCTTGGGTTGTTCTATTGAATGGGTGTGATAACTTCTATGGAAATAAAGTTTATTCTTTTAACATTATTCTTAAGCTCCATATTTTTTATTAACAGTAAATTTTATCTCATTTTTTTAAGAGAACACATTGTATATGGACAAGCAACACTAAAGCAATGAATTTGCTGATAATTCTTACTATTTATTCCATAAGTGGACTAGTCTAATCATAAACAAACTCCCTCCACCTAGTAAATGGGAAATCCCTTCTTGATTCTGTTTTCCACCTAGCCTTTCTTTCAACACTACATTTGTTAATAATGTACGTTACAAGGTAAGGGTTTTTTAAAAAAGCTTAGAAAGTCAGCGAGTAGCATATTATTTCATGCCTTGTGAGAAACAAGGGTTTCCTTTTAATACAGTGACAAGAGTGTAGGTCAGTACCCGTAGCGGAATGGGCTTCAGTCCCGTAAGGTTTTAAGTAAAGAATCGGCAAAATGAAGAAGACATCAAGATCTGTACTGGTTTTCATTTCATAAAAAAAGCACATTATTTTAATTATGAGAAAGGTCCTGAAATCGATTGAAAAGAAAAACTAACAATTTCAAAACTGTATATAAAGATGTATTTTAAGCTCATTTGTAATACATGTATATAGTAAGACCATCATCGCGTGAGTTTTGTCCGGGGGGTGGGGGGTTATTAGTATCTTGTTTTGCGCTAGCTATAAACATGATAAAGTGTACAGGTTATTTACTTTGATTTCTAGAGTAGCATTGAAGCATTTTTGTCTCAAACACTTTAAGACAACTTTCCCAGTTAAAACTGTTCATAATTTACTTCGTCGTCGAGAACGACGGAAAACAGTCCAGTCTATAAATAAAGGCCGTCTCATCAATCTATCACTGACCATGAAGAAGTGCGCCATCTAGTAGGAGAGTACATGTAATATGAATTTCTTTAAAACGAATCATCTGACTATTTTCCCAGAATTATCAGTGGCGGATCCAGGAATTTCATAACGGGAGGGCGCAGTAGAAGGCATGGGGTCTGGTGGGCTGTATTGAAACCCCAGTGGGTCCAGAGCAAAGCTCTGATTCGTCCCCGGAAGCTGACGAATTCTTACAAATAAGAGGTGTTTTTTCCTTGATTTTAGGATAATGAACATATAAGTTCTATATACAAAAAATTCAAACGGGGGGGGGGGGGGGGGGGCGCACGCCCGGCGCGCCTGTGCTGGATCCGCCTTTGATTATAATCTACGCTATTGCGCACTTGCAGTTTCATCCCAACGTAACTAGTCAGCCTGTGGGCTAACTAATAAATGACCAAATAGTGGCATGTCTCAGATATTCGTTAATCTGTAGTATTTGGTTATGAAATTTGAGAAAGTCAACTGTACATCTTGTATAATGAAGTATCGCAATTATGTCGCTCCTTGATGACGGAAACGTTTAGCACCTCTCCTGCATATACGTTCCATAGATATTGATTGATTAGTCAGGCAAGCTTTTTGAAAAGCTATTACTTGTTCGACATTAACGGTTGTCCGATTGCCCGCGGGGCAAGTAAATTCTCAGTTCGGGCAAGTGAAACTGCTCATGTACTTGTACGATAGGGCAAATGAATTTTTCTGATAGATTTTTTTTTTCTTACATTGATTTATAAACAAACAAAAAAATTAAACATTTGATTTCTACCAGAATATTGCAGCATTGTTTTTGCATTCAGAATTTAAATTCCTCGGTAGCGTTTCTAGATGATACCGTTTATTCAAAAATCTGGTCGTTCCGTGGTAGTTTACAAAAATACGCTTTCCGTCTCACAGCTTTATTTTACATTTTTATTATGAAATAAGATATTATAAAATAGTTTATTTATTCACTCACAGAATACAAAGAACACTAATTTCTCTGCGCATGATGTATCCTGATCAGAATATGTATGTTTCGAAACATGGCAACTGTTTTCCATTAGCATAGCTTAAGTTTGTCAGGGATAAAAAAAATCAAAATTCACAAAAAGATCGCACAGAAAATAATTTTTAAAAATATGAAATTTATTTAAAGGAAATATTGCTGCATGGCAATACGAGTTACAGGATAGTAAATTACAGGAAAGTGGTATACAAGTATTTACAAATGTATATGTAACATCACCGGCACGATTTTTTTCTAGCAGTTGTCAAAAACATATAAAAAGTTATATCTCACTTTATTTACAATAATAAATTCAGTTACCGGTATTTTCTCTTCTTTTTAAATTTTGGGCAACCAAATTCTGCATTCGGACAAGTCAAAGTTTGAGTTCGCTAGCTTGCCCGAAAGGCAAGTGAATCTGAAATTTAATGTCCATCCCTGATATAATGAAATTAGTGAGATACAATTTTGAAAATCTAAATTCTTTTCTACTCATGGGGATTTAGCTGGAAAGTTATTTCCATGATTACTGTTTTAATAAACACTTAGCCCTCTACCAACATGTTGAAAATTGTGGCCCCTGGGCACACGATTTATGCTCCAGGACACTCAGGTGATCGTGGAGGCTTATATATATATATATATATATATATATATATATATATATATATATATATATATATATATATATATATATATATATATATATATATATATATATATATATATCGATGTATGTTACAATGACATAGGATTAGCTCTTCTTACATACACGCACCGGGTTACCGACCCTCGACTTTGCATCAGACATCCTGAAAGAAAATTCTTAAGTCAAGCAGACTGTGATATATATCATTTTAATTCGTAATAATTTTCTGCAGAATAAAATATTATCGTCGACCAGAAGTTTACATCATAACCATACCTGAAATAAAATGAATATTTCTTCATGATACTTTTTGTTTTTCACTCAAACATCGATATTCACACTAACATTTACACAACGACTCTTTCGTTCTTAGGTATAGACGCCACTCTATTCAGCAGTTATCCTTCTTATAGACAGTACATGTAAATTTGTGACTTTTAAAAAACTTTCAAATTCAAAATTTAACTTACATGATATAAGTCATTGTTAACAAATATGCGTTAAGAACGAACAAGTAACACGTTTAAAGACTATAACCATTCTTAAAAGTGATTATTTGATGAGTGCATAGTATGCAAATAAAATATATAACATGGACATAGTGCTTAACAATAAAACAAACACACACAAGCACGCGCACACTTATTTACTTGATAAGTGAAAAAAATAAACTAACCAAAATAAATTAAAATAACAGACATCAATTCATACCAATATCAAAAAGGAATAAATAATGGCAAATTTTAACCACTTTCACATGGCATTAGCATTTAAATATATTCATAGGCTAACATCAGCTGATGAATCTTCGCCTGTAATGAGGGGAAGTCTTGTGGGTGATACGGGCCCGCACGAATCATCTGTCTCAGAAGATTCCGATTTATCAGTGGGCGGATCCACCCCTTGTTCCTGCATCTCCACCTCTCTATATGCTGGTGGCGTGTCATCATTGTCGTCTACCAACTGAAAGCTGCGGTCATACGCTTTGTCAAACTCCCACTGCAAGCTGTGGGCAAGATTAATTGATGGAATATTGGCCCCAATAGTCCCAATGGTCCCTACACTACCCAGGTTTTTCTCTATTATCTCGGAAGGTTCGGTGTTAGTTCTGTGCAATGGTGTATTTGCAGCAGTCACATTGCCATTAGAATTGAACGCCATATTGCACATTCCAGTGTTTACTGTAGAAACAGCATTTCCATGGAGAAGATCAGGCAAGCTTGCGGCGCGGTCTGATACACCGTCCGTCAGATCGTCCTCACTACGAAATCTCACCAGTCCTTCCTCGATTACGATGTGGGTATGTTTACAAGGTTGAGGACCATTCCCATTCTGTTCAACCATTACATTTTTATTCTGTTTCTTTGAACTTTTTGCATCACTAGAATCGTACTCACTATCTGAGAAACTCTTGAAATGAGAACTTCCAAATGAAGTGTTTTGGTCGTTTTCAGAATTTTCTTGACTAGAACAGCAGCACTTTTTCAATACAAAACAAAACAGATAACAAGGTTTAGAGTCATTTCTCCTATTGTATTTCATTGGTTGCGAACCAACGTATATCATTATTGCACACATGATTATTTCGAACACACGCAAAAGGAACTGGTGCACATACCATGGCCAAGGTTCTGGTACGTAACTATCTGTGAACATACGGAAGACATAAAACATTCCAAATAATTCTAAAACAATGCAGAAAAATCCACAGGCCGCTGCAACCAGTGTCACAGTAATTGCAGAATTCAGTGTTGATTTATTTTTGGATTTCTTCGGTCTTGGAAGACTTCCCATGGAACTCACTACTGACTTCCTTGAAACATCTGAAGGATACGAAATTGAATGCTTCTTTAAGGTTTTTCGGCGTTTTATTGCTGACTCACGTAATCGTCGGAAAATGAAAATATATCCCAAGAATAAAATAATTCCCCATAAAATGTAAAAGGACTGGCAAATTAAAAGCATGATTTTGGCATCTGCGAAAAATCCAACAACAAAATCTGTTGAAATGGAGAGAATGAAATGGAATGCAATTATACCAATTAGCACTGAGGACTTCTGTATTTTGGAAGACAACATTTTCATTTTGGTCGCGAGTAACAGTGCATAAAACAGAATACTAAATGCTGATGTTAAACATGGAAAGGCAGTACTGTACAGAAAGTACGCCAACACAGGATGGTAGGTTTCATGCACATTGTAAGCATCTATAAGTAAATATAATGCCCGAAGAACACATTTGAAGATGATTAAAATGTTTAGCACCATGAAGTAGTTTTTACTAAGCAAATGTTTGATTTTCCATAATCTTATAACACTTAGTAGGCTCAAAACACCAATTAGAAGAAATGCAGCTGCAAAGAAATACACAAGAATATCCCAACCCCATTGCCATTCTTTCATAGCAATATCCCATACTGGATGGGGCTCTGCAAAAGCTGCCCCCTCAGCCTCTGGTTCTGGCTCACCTTCTGGTTCAGGTGATGATGATTCTGCTTCTGGTGTTGGTTCAGAAACCAATCCTGGTTCACCTGTTGGTTCTGAGATAGGTTCACCTGTAGGTTCTGCTGTTGAATTTGGTTCAGGATGTGGCTCAGAAGTTACCTCTGGCTCTGGTGTTAATTCTGGCTCTGCTGTTGATCTGGGTTCTGATGTGGGTTCTGCTGTTAATGTTGGTTCAGATGTTGGTTCTGGTGAAGATTTTGGTTCTGGGTTAGGTTCAGGTGTAACAGCAGGTTCACTTGTTGGTTCTGCTGTTGATTTTGGCTCAGAGGTTGGTTCAGAAGAGGACTTAGGTTCTGGTTTTGGCTCAGGTGTAACCAACGGTTCACTTGTTGGCTCTGCTGTTAATCTTGGTTCTGAAGTTGATTCAGAAGAAGTTTGCTCTGGAATTGGTTCTGCTGTAGAAACTGGCTCACTTATAGGCTCTGCTATGGATTTAGGTTCATGTGTTGGCTCAGGTTCTACAATTGGTTCTGCTGTAGATACTGGTTCATGTGAAGGCTTAGGTTCACTTGTAGTCTCTGGTTCTGCAGATGGCTGAGGTTCAGATGTTGGCTCTGAAATAGGCTCCGCTGTTGAGTTTATCTTGTGTGATGGTTCAGGTTCACTTATTGTTTTTACAGTGGCTTCTGGTTCAGGTATTGGTTCTGAGGTTGTTTTTGGTGCAGGTTCTGATGTGGACTGTGGCTCACTTGTAGATTCAGGTGTTGTCTTTGGTTCTATGATAGGTTCTGAAGTTGGGCTTGTTTCAACAGTTGGTTCTGGCTCACTTTTTGTTGTTGGCTCAGGTGTAGCCTCAGGTTCTGATTTTGGAACTAAAGTTGAATTTAGCACAGAAAGTGACTGAGCTGTGACATTGACTGTTTCCTGTTTAGCTACTTCAATTGTTTCATTTACATTTTCTGCCAAACTTAAGCCACTATCTGTTCCATTTAGCCTTTGATAACTTTCACTAACATTCAGTTCTGCATTAAAGGTATCCCTCACATATCTTCCAGGTTTAAGTCCTAAATGCATCAGTAAAAGATGGCCTCTAATTTGGTTGACAACAAGGTTCAAATCCCCACCTGAGGAAATCCGAACTGAGCCACACCCATCACACCAAAACAAAATCAAAAACACTGCACCAAAGAGAGAGACTGTGATCCGTAATAGGTTCATCCTATCTATGGTTTACTTTATAATGCACATTGTTTTCAATGATGTCAGTGTTGTATAACTTTGCCATGCATTCTGGGCTAGTCATTGTTTAACTCTGCAAAAAGAAAAAAAAAAGAATATTTTAATTAATTACATTTTTAAAATGCACTCTAAAAACAATGACAATTTAAATAGTTGTTTCTGTTAATAAGGTATAAATTTCTATCCTTCAAGTTTACATAACCTAGCTCATGATTTGTAACACTATAGACCTGCTTCACTCACATTTTCTGACATTTGACAAAACAGAAAATGGATGTTGGATTAAGTTGAAAGTTAAATGCTACACGTTAAATCCTTTTGCTTTATTCTAATTAACATAATCATTTTAATTTCATAAATGTCCTTTAAAGCGACTGGATACAGGATTTGACTTGTATTTAAATGTCAAAAAATTTTACTCGGAAAAAGATGGTACATGAAAATTAGTCAAATCCGGTTCCGCAATAAAAATGTTAAAAAAGATAAACAAATACAGCATTATTTACGAGGTATTCATCTCAACTGGCATTTATCATTTACAGATTACTGACCCCTTCAAAAAAGAAGAAAAAAAGGGAGATGAATCGTAACATGATGTTACCCAATACATCATGGTAATGTCCGGTTAATGTGGACATTTTATGATGATTAGGAACTGTAACGTTAGGTTTGTTATGTGTATTGCTGGGCAGTCAGTGAACATGTCAGAGCCAGACACACATCAGATAGACACTATATCCAATAATCATGTTATGTCCACTAAGGGAAGTAAAGCAGTACTGTTTGTTGACAAGCACCTGTTTCATTTAAGAATGAGCTACAGACTACTTATTTTTTATATTTTTTTTATATCATATATATAATGTTAAAGAGTTTTTCCTAGTGCAAAGAGGGTGCCAGATGATTGCATGCTCCTTTGTCAAACATTAAGAAAATGTGGTGATACAAATTGCACTATAATCAAATGATAAAATAATCATTTTTAAAAATATTATAATAATCATATTTAATTTGTGTAACTTTGTACATCTGTACCATGGAACTGTCATCAAACAGTAAAAATGGGCATCACAAACATAAACTCTGACCTCTGTTATGCAAAATAATTGGCTCAAAAGGGATATTTCATAATAGGGGCAATAATGGGGCAAATTTTTTGGAAACATTTACAAACGAAATTTAACATGACTTCCTCAAAGTAGCACACATATCATGCATTCATAATTTTTCAAATAATATGTTCCCCTTTTTCCTTTGCATTTTAGCTCTATAATCATCATTCATTTTAACTTATCCATGCCTTGTTTACTGAAATACAATATACTGTTTTATTTCCTCTCTATAGACATGATAGAGGTTAACAGGTAATTTGAGGTTTTTTCCTTTTATCTTTTTCTATTTCTTATTTTTCCCTGTTGGCAGCAAAAAGTGGTAACTTTATGTTCCCATTAATTTAAAAAGACAAACTATATATATCTTACAATATAAATTTGATTATAAGGATATATTAAAATTACATAAACAAACTGATAAGGAAACCATGAAATGCAGTGATACATTACATATGTAAACTAAGTATATAACAGGTTTATAAATTCAACTTTCTCAGGTACGAACAATAAAAAATAGGTAAAGGAAATCAAATTCCATGCAAGTCTTGCAAAAAAAAATATACATGTCAAATTTAAAATGCTTATAATTAAAACAAGACTTGCCTGATTAAATGAAAAATTGTTTGAAAAATACATGTACATAACATATCACATATTAATAATTTTACCTGATATATAGTATTTAATTATCCAGTGTCTGATTCATCAAAATATTAGGTGTAAAAATATACTTAAACTTCCTCTTCAGTCTATAAAAACATTGGCTTGTAGCCGGTGCAAATAAAAAATCCAAGGCAAAGTTTATGGCTAATTAAAATCAAAACATAAAAAATGTGTGTATTCTCACTAGTATAAACACACAGTCATGCATCTTTTATAAGATATCTAATGACTTCAGTGAACTTTTAGCAATTAATCTTGAATGATTGATCACTGCAAGTTACCAGGAAAGAAATATAAACTTTTAACACTTGAATATTTTACACAAAAAAAGAAAGTTGATTAAAGGAATATATTTGCCAATAAATATCTACAAACCTTAATTTCTGATTTGCTGTCCTCTAGATCAAGCAAAAGCACAGAAAATGTTAATTTGCTGTCAATTTCATCAATATTGTGTATGACCTTAGGATAATTCAAGTCATAAAAGTTATTAAGAACTGACCCCTGGGCACCTGGTTTGACAGAAAAGTGAGTTATCTAATGGGCAATCATTTACAGCTAATGGGCCCAAGTCATTTAACCTTAATTCGAACACAATGACCCGTACTTTGGTAAATGTACCATGAGATACAAACTGAGAGTAAAATTTTGTTATGTAGGAAGTTTTTATAAGTTTACATATATTAAATAAATATTGCACTATTGGTTGAAGCCAAAAATCAGTTAAATATGTATATTCATGCAGTTAACATCTGGAAATGTTTAAAAGGAAAATAACCCCAGCTAGTACAATGCTTAAAGGATGAAATGTTGTTCTTCAAATGGAACCTTGTAAAGTACAATCTAATTATTACAAAAATGTAGGAGGAAAATGCTTGCACCTTTAACAAGATTTATGTGCCACACATGCACAACCAGTTAAACATAATCCACTTCAGACTCAAAGTCTATAATTTTTTTGTTGCTTAATGCCTATAAACTGAAGATTAACCGAATTATGTTTAAAGGAAAAATGGCTAATGATACAAAACTGCAAATTGTTAAACTAAATCATACCTGAAAAATGACTTTATATATTCATCCAATCAGAGAATTTCTCAAAAATGAATCAAATACATTTATAACAATATTTCTCAATTCAGAGAACACAGCTGGAGTCACATTCCAAATTGCTAATTTAACTGAAGAATGTCTAAAGAGACATTAATTTTGTTGTTGGGTTCCAAGAAAATGCACAAATACCTCCAATAAAAAGCTTGTTTCATCATCTCTGACATGTGTTTTACAAACGGTCAGCATGTCCAGTAATGTCCATGCAGGGCCTCTGGCCACCTCTTCCTATCCCATGATATAGGTCTCTGACTATTTTGTACAGTATAACAAAGAGGACCTTCCCAATAATATTCATAAAAAAGTCCCACATTACTTTATGCGAGTCATGTCCTTTGATTTATGCGGTTCTGTTACAACATTACCTGACTATACTAGCTGTCACACAACAAAGACAACAGAAAAGTAAACAATGAACAAAATAAAAAATGATATGCAAATGACAAAATGAAATATATAATAATACCAAGAGAATTATTTAAAACCTATCACATTGACATTATACCATTCGCAATGAAAAGACTTGAATAAATTGGTGGGTTACACAATACTAGCAGGTGGAATTTTAGTTCCTGATACATTATGTAGAAGTTAAGTGTACAAACAATAAGGAATTGTGTATAAAAATCAAAGAAAACCCATCTTTGCAAATAAGGAAACTCCATTAATTTCATCAAGAGTGTTATCTAAAATCGAGCATTAATTATAAAATGACATTAATTTGTCCCAATTTCCATTCTAATTTTTCTCAAAACTTAATCTTTCACTTTAAACAATTTGATCAAGTTCAAGTTCAAGTTCTTTATTTCTTTGCGTCATACGACACATCAGATTACATATATTCATAACTAAACATATATACAATATTGTAAAATATAACAATATGAGAGTGAGCATAATCAATTAATACATGTACCTGTCAACACCTATATGTAGCATATCCAAACAAATTCCACATCAAAATGAGCATGCAAATGTCCCACAAAAAATATAAAAATCAAAAATAAAAATAATATGTAGGCAATAATTTCAAAATGCTTAAAAAAAGAAGAAAAAAAAACTTACAAAACAAAGTGCCTTCTATAATAATTTCCCTGTCTTTCTCTACATCTATAATGGCATTTTTACAGCTTTAGGGGTCTGTATAATAAAAAGATCTTTGACTTCTACATTAGCTACCTACACACCATGTCTTTAACCTCTCGACCTTTCCTGTAACAAATCAACCTTATCCTGATTAAGATTCACAGCCTACTGTCTAACCTTTCACACCAATACTTATAAATCACAGGGTTAAAACTCAAACTTGATACCTTCATATACTAACCTAAAAACATACTATATTTCCTTCCTTTATTTTCTGAATAAAGTTCTGCAGTCTATTTTCAAATATAATTTTATGGCCAATTTTGATTTAAAATCATATATGATGTATCAAATACATGTACATGTATTATATGTACAGATCAGAGAAAATCTTTACATATAAATTTACATATATAGTACTAATGTTATTGAAAATTATCATTTACAAATTAAGGAAAAGATTCGATCTTTCCATAATGGACCAATCAAATTGACAATTCTCAATTTAAAATTTACCTGTGTTATAATAGGCAATCTCAGTCTAAGCTTGTCCCAGTGAATGAGCTAGTTCTATATTGCCCTAATCCCCACTATTAACACATTATATGACTGACGTAAACATCTAAAATTGTCCACCTAAATTTTCACGTCTTCTAAGTCATGTAATTCAGTACAGTTGACATCAGAAAAGAATTATTTGTCATCTCTATTCAGGACATTACATTTCCTGTTGGTGATTATATGAGATAAGGTTAATAAACTGACCGAAACACATGATGCATCCTCCATAATAAGTTTATTAATGAATATAGAAGGTGTGAAGTTACTGCAAAATATGTAAACGCATTCAAATTCAACTGACCGAAACACATGATGCATCCTCTATAATAAGTTTATTAATGAATATAGAAGGTATGAAGTTACTGCAAAATATGTAAACGCATTCAAATTCAACTGACCGAAACACATGATGCATCCTCCATAATAAGTTTATTAATGAATATAGAAGGTGTGAAGTTACCGCAAAATATGTAAACGCATTCAAATTCAACTGACTGAAACACATGATGCATCCTCCATAATAAGTTTATTAATGAATATAGAAGGTGTGAAGTTACCGCAAAATATGTAAAAGAATTCAAATTCAACTGACCGAAACACATGATGCATCCTCCATAATAAGTTTATTAATGAAAATAGAAGGTGTGAAGTTACCGCAAAATATGTAAACACATTCAAATTCAACTGACCGAAACACATGATGCATCCTTTATAATAAGTTTATTAATGAATATAGAAGGTGTGAAGTTACCGCAAAATATGTAAACACATTCAAATTCAACTGACCGAAACACATGATGCATCCTCCATAATAAGTTTATTAATGAATATAGAAGGTGTGAAGTTACTGCAAAATATGTAAAAGAATTCAAATTCAACTGACTGAAACACATGATGCATCCTCCATAATAAATTTATGTATTAATGAATATTGAAGGTGTGAAGTTATGACAATATATGTACTAAAAGGATTAAAATTCATGTGCAAGGCAAAGCTGCACAGTACAAATGAACTCTGAAAAAAAAAAAACACAACTGCACATATGTATTGACAATTATATGTAAACAATTCATAGTTTTCTATTATTAAACATTGAATGTTTTTGCTGAAATTTTGTTCTTTTACCATGAATACAGTAGTGATTCACTTTTCATTTCCACAAGTTATCTGTAAATTATGTGTAAATTCTATTTCAGATGCCAATCTCTCTGTAATGTTGGGTGAAAACTGTGTTATAGCGTATATATTTATAATAAGCTCAGTTTGTGTAAAATTTGTGAACCGTTTTTATGAACAGTTACTCAGTATTACACATCAGTATAGCTCATTATCATGGTTAAATTTTTTTCCCATTATGTCTATTTAGCAGAATGTACAAGTGGATGAGTAAATTTTATATGTACCAATATCATGCTGATATAAATAAATGCTGCCAGATGTGAAATCATGCCAGTACAATAATTGGGGGGAGGGGGGGGGGTTGAGTTGGGGGGTTAGGACAATTAAATTACTTGGCAATTTTTTATATGACATATGATATATATGACGCCTGGACTTATCATTTCACAAGGGGTCCTTTTCTGTGAATTTTTTTCATTTCTTTACATAGAAATTTTAGAACACTGAAAATCCAAAAGGGGGGGGGGGGGGGTCTGGACCCAAACCTACCCCCTCTAGGTCTGCACATGTTTAACAACCAATCAGGGACATTATTTCATATTCTAAGTGCAATAATTAAAACAAATTCAAAACTACAAGCTACTGTGTGAAAAGTCAATGTACTCAAAACTTCAAAGTTAATATATTCTATGTAGGGTAATTCATTAACTAAAAAGACTTATTTTTTTAAAAAATCATTTTTATACCTACTGGGCCAACAAATGATTCCTTTTGGAATGTCAAATTATAATATATGACTTATAATTTTATATCGCAGGTCACAAACAGTACTACTGTATTGCCCAAAGGGAAAAAAAATCAGCAAATACCCTACAGAAGGGGAAGACGGAAATGAGGGGTGAAAGAAAGACGAAGAAGAGATGATCGAGAGAGGGGGATGGAGAGTAGGAGGGGGTCCGGATTAGGTAAGAAGTAGAGAGTAGATCGATACACAATCTAATTAAAATAAGATCTAACATGCTTCCATGGTTTTTGATATGTTGTGTACGTTATCAACAAACAGGGAGTGTTTATTTAGATCCAATTTTAATTAGATTTGATTAATACACAGATAAAACTACAACTTACACATTTTAAAATAAGCAAACCTATAAACTTTTAGGAGTAGGTTCATCAAACATGAACATTTGAAGTGTATCATGTGTATGTTGAACAATTGTCAAATTTCATATGTGCATGTTCATTTAGTAAGATATTCATGCATATGCAGTAAGCAAACATAAAATAGTGCATTCAAAATTGAGCATGCTTTGTGTATGTACGTGTTTTAATTAAATATATTAGAGGGTATTTGAATTAGCGAACAAGAAGCAATGTGAAAGGCTCTAAAATATGATTATGATATGATATGATTATGCTAATATAAGGATGTTTATATTACATACAGTATAAAACATTAAATAAATGTAAATGAACATACAATTTGTACATTAAGCACATGTTGATTCTTTTTTAATTATGATAAACATGTCTTAAAACATACAAGTATGGTTTCATATACTGTATGTTTTCCAATTTTATCCATTTTTCCTTCTGAAAATTATTAAGAAAATATGCAAATAACAGTTGGAAAAAGTAAAACAGAAACTGGGACGAGTGAAATGCGAGAAAATATATGGTTCACAGATGTAATACCTATGAGTACATGGTTAATAGACATACAGTAAGATAGTGAAGATTTAAAATCAATTTATCTATTTGACAAATAATTTCTTTTTGAACCAAAAAAGTCGTTAAAACTAAATGTAATTAAGAGCTGAAAAAGTTGTCAATATGATATAAATACATCTGTGATAACTTGAACAATTGATAGACTGTCACATAATCTAAAAGTCTGCAATGTTTACCAACAAAGCATGCAGTATGTGTAGAAAAAATAAATAAACACAGTTAATAAGGAAAATCAGATACATACCATACAATATAGGAATGAACTGTACACAGGGATGGTGTATTGCTGTTGATTAAAACCCTTAGTCACTTTTCCCCAGGCTGAAAAAGAAAGCTCTGATTCAGAGTGTATACCTAAGTGTTATTTAATCTGTATATAGTACTCCTTCATTCATCAGTGTCTCATGTCCATTTAATGATATACCAATGACTTCAATTTAAATCTTATCCACATAAATAATCAATGATACTCTATTGATGTTTTAGCAATTCATTGGGAAAATCTCTTAAACGTAATCTTCACTTTGGTTAAAATCTTCTGGATGGATACACATATTTGGACAAAGGCTTAAAGCTTTTAAGCTTGTGTTAAGTGAAAGTAATTACAATTAAATTTCTACAATGTTAATATTTTTCCTCAACTTTTGACTTTGTCAACAAGTGTCCCTTCCCATTTCAAACATGATGTTATTGAAACACATAATTTAGGTTTTGCAATTTAAGCTGGAAAAAAAATTAAAACCAACAGAACTGTGATGATTTTTTCATGATTTGACACACAATATTTCATGTGTAGGTAATTCCTATCCTAGTCTGATATAAGGA